TAAAAGTACACGGGTTGAGAGATAGCCGAGAGGTGTTGAAATTTTGCTGGACCAGTCTGAGCGATAGCCGAGAAATCGCAAGTGCGTCCGACTATCTCTGTTTCTGATCGAGAAATCACCGAGATTCATTCGACTGAAACGTTTATCTGTGTGTCTAAGGTGAGTGCGTGACTGTAGTCTGTATCTAGAATCGTTTGATTGCTAGGTTATCTGATTTTCATTGATTGCTTGTGTAAGATAGTGGTTTCTGCTTAGCAAGGTCAATGTTTCTGTGATTGTGAATGATCAAGTGTGAACCGTGGTCAATACATGATGTCTAACTAGTTGTGTGAATGTCCGGATCATGTTACTAGCTCAAGGGGATGTGTGATTCTCGCTTGAAGTAGATACGATGCTTTGTAAGGCTTCACAAGTAGTTGAGATGATCATAGGACCGTAATGTTTTATGTGCTTGCTTGCTAATTGATAATGTGAATTGTATAACTGATAGTATTATGCATTTTCTGGTACTGGCTAAGGTGTTACGGGATGACTGTATTCACTAAGTATTTATGAAATACTTATGCCTCTCTTTTTGAGTGTGCAGGTAAAGATAAGGTCCAGGGCGAGTAGCTCTGAAGGTGGACTGGAAGGCAGTGAAGGAAAGGGGTGGATTATGACTGGGTTTTGGGATTCATGTTCTGGGCTTTCTATTTTATGGCTTTGGTGTTAGCGTTCTGAATTAAACTGAATCTGATAACTTTAGTTTATGTTATTGAATCTGAAATATATTAAGTGTTTCTAGAATAAATATGCAATGTAAATGGATGTCTTTTGATGAATCGAACTTGTTTTAAAGTTAGAGAATTTTTTTAAAAATATGCGTGTTTTTGTACTCTTGCCGAGATAAGACTCGGTGAGGTTTGGGCCGGTCTAGCGATAGATGGTCGGGTACTCACAGGCTCCGTCAGAGGGACAAGGAGAAAATTATGAAGGACAATTCGGGTTTTGAGTTGGAACTGTCAAGGATTGGGAAACAGGTATACAATAAGCTATCTCTGGGAGATTTGGCAGAAGTTCAGAACTGATTTTCTGTTTCTTTCTGAAACAAAGAAATGTTTTAATTTTATTGAGCAATTTCAGTTTTATTTTGGTTATGATTTGTTGTTCACGGTTGATCGGTGTGGAGCTAGTGGAAGTTTAGCTCTATTTTATAATAAAAACTTTGATGTAAAAGTTTTATTTTCGAATAAAAGGATTATTGACATTGAGGCGTCTATTGATGGGAATTTAATTTATATGTCTTTTGCATATGGTGATCCGGTCCAAAAATTTAGAGATCAAGTTTGGGAACGGATAACCAGAAAAAGTTTAACAAGAAATGATCCATGGTTTTTAATTGGTGATTTCAATGAAATTACGAGTAATCATGAGAAGCAAGGTGGTGTAATTAGACAAGCGTCTTCCTTTGTCGATTTTAATACAATGATTAGTAATTGTGGATTATTGGACTTTGCAAATTGTGGGAATACATTGTCTTAGAAAGAAAGACGAAACGGGCAAAATGTACGGTGTAGACTGGACAGAGGTCTTGCTACAGCAGAATGACAAGATTTATTCTCATTCTCATATGTGGAATATTTGAGAATGATAGGTTCAGATCACATACCCATTGTAGCAACAACTGAGAAAAAAAGTTTAAACGGAGGAATCAATTCCGGTTTGACAAAATATGGATTGGTCAGGAGTGATTAATGGAATCTATCACACGAGGGCGGAAGGAAGGTAGCCAAAATGCACCCTATTCCCTGGTTGACAGAATAGTCAACTGTAGGCATGAAATTTCTAAATGGCGGCAGCTCAATTTACCGTATGAAAGAGATAAAATTGAGGATCTCCAACGGCAGCTTGAGAAAATTCAAACAGACGATACATGCACACAAGACAAACTTAATGAGATAACTCAAAGGCTGAAAGAGGCGTATCTTGATGATGAACATTTTTAGCATCAAAAAAGTCGGAATCTTTGGAACAAATGTGGAGACCTAAACACCAAATTTTATCACACAACCACTACACAACGGAGGATAATAGATAGAATAGTTGGTTTGCATGATAGCTGGGATATATGGGTAAACTGGAGAAAATAAAGTGGAGAAAGCCGCAGTAAATTATTTCTCCGACCTATTTACTTCTATTCCGCCAACTAGTTTTGAGGATGTCCTTGCAGAAGTAGATTCGGAAATAACAGAACAAGATAATGAGGAAATTGTAAAACCAGCATCAGAGGCAGAGGTAAAAGAAGCATTATTCATGATGCATCCCACAAAGGCACCAGGGCCTGATAGCATGACGGCATTGTTTTTTTCAAAAATCATGGGATATTAGTAAGGACGATGTTGTACATATGGTAAATCAATTTTTTTTATTACAGGAACTTTCAATAAATGGTTAAATTTGACAAATATCTGTCTTATTCCAAAAAACAGATCGACTAACTCAGATGACAGATTTACGGCATATACGTCTCTGTAATGTTGGATACAAAATAATTTCCAAAGTTTTATGCCAGAGGCTGCAGAATTTATTACTACGGTTGGTATCAGAGACACAATCGGCATTTGTGTCAGGGAGACTAATATTCTAATAGCACATAAAATGTTTCATGGTCTACGAACCAAATATTCTTGTAAAAAAGAATTTATGGCCGTCAAGACAGATATGAGTAAAGCCTATGATCGGGTGGAATGGGGCTCTATAGAACATTTACTAAGGAAATTGGGATTCGAAGAGAAATGGATTACCTAGATAATGTGGTGCGTTAGATCAGTCTAATATAATGTTCTTATCAATGGAAATACGAAAGGTAATATCCAACCAAAAAGGAGACTTAGACAGGGGGACCCATTGTCACCTTATCTATTTATTCTCTGTACAGAAGTATTAATCGTTAATCTGAAGAAAGCAGAATGCGAAAATCTAATTATTTGGATGAAGACTGCACGGGCGAGCCCGACAGTCTCACATATGCTTTTTGCGGATGACAACCTGTTTTTTTGTAAAGCAACATAGGCGGAGGCGAATGTATTACTGCATATCCTCAAACAGTATGAGTTAGCCTCGGGACAACAAATCAATTTTATGAAATCATCAGTTCAATTTGGACGCAAAGTTCCTCAGGTAACACGGGAACTTTTACACAACATATTGGGAATTTCCAATGTTGGAGGTATGAGTACATACTTGGGGATTCCAGAAAGTCTGAAAGGTGCTAAAACAAAGATTTTTAATTTTTTGCTAGACAGACAACAAAAACGGGTCAATGGTTGGACGGCTAAGTTGTTATCGTGGGGAGGGAAGGAAGTTCTTATTAAATAAATGGTTTCAGCAGTTCCGGCATACACTATGTCCTGCTTTAGACAACCCAAGACGTTAACTACCAAGCTGACAAGTACGGTAGCGAAATTCTGGTGGAACAATAACGGTAGGACACGAGGAATGCATTGGATTGCTTGGGATAAACTATGTAAGCCAAAATCTGAAGGCGGACTGGGGTTTCAGGTGGTGGAGGATTTTAACACAGCCTTACTGGCTAAACAGTTATGGCGTCTTATTGAAACACCCAGATTCTCTATTTGCAAGGGTATTTAAAGGGAGATACTATAGGGAGGGCACACCTCTATATCCGATACGGTCGTACTCTATGTCGTATGGATGGAAGAGCATCATCTCGGCTAGATCTCTGGTACACAAAAGGGCTTATCAAAAGAGTTGGATCAGGCCATTCTATATCGGTTTGGAATGACCCCTGGATTCCATTCTCACACCCAAGATCAGCATCATGGAATGGGTATAATTACTACCCAGACCTAACAATCAATCAACTGATTGATCCTGTAACATCAACATGGAACATACCACTACTTGAACAATTGATAGTCTCGGAGGACATACCGGTGATCACTGCAATGGTAACGACCAGGAAACACCGCCCGGACATATGGGGATGGAATTTCACAAAAACAGGACGATACACTATTAAATCGGGATACTTCATAGAACAACTCTACCGCGATAATGAATCTTTTTGAATATATGATCCAGATATCAGCCAATTACAGGCTCAGGTATGGAAGATTAAATGTTCACCTAAAATGAAACATTTTATGTGGTAAGCCCTCTATGGATGTTTAGCGGTAATGAGCCGACCACGAGCTAGGGGAATCAACTGTGATCCTCAATGCAGTAGATGTGGAGCGGAGAGGGAAACAATAAATCACACTTTATTCGAGTGCCCACCGACATTTCAGGTATGAGCGCTCTCGCCAATACCTATGCCTATACACAGGTTTCCAGTGGATGCATTGTTCTCTAATATGGCAAATTTATTCTGGCATTTACTCGACCATGAGGACATGAAGGTCTACATGTGGATACTCTAGTATATTTGGAAAACGCAGAATGAAAAACTCTTCTCAAATATAGATCGGGATCCCCGAGAAATTGTCAAGATAGCAACAGCAGAAGCACATGCATGGGATGAAGCACAAGAAAAAGATATAATGATCGAGGCCTCACAACTAATATATAATGGAATTAGCACTACATCTGGCTCATGAAAACAGAATATCTCAAATACAGGGCTCGGTTGGTATAGTCATAGACCAGGCAATATAGATATACTAATGGGTGCACAAAAGATATGGAAGAGCCTATCACCCCTGCATACTGAACTTGAGGCACTTATATGGGTAATACATTATATGTTAGATGTTAGAAAATAGGAGGTGACATTCTTAACGGATAGCTCAGAATTGTTGAAGATGGTAGCAGAGTGGCCAGCCTTCTTACTACATTTAGAAGAATACGAAGCCACTAGAAAAGAATTCCAACTTTTTTCAATCGCAAAGGTCTCACAGGCGCAGAACACAAAAGCAGATAAACTAACACGAAGTGCTCGAATTTACCTTTACTATTTATATTATGTAAATTTAGTTTCACTAAAATGGTGAGGCTGTTGAAAAAAAAAAAAAAAACTTGAGAAAAAAAGTTACAAAGTTGATCCTACCTGTAGCTGGGGATCTCATTTTTATACTACATTCCACTCTCCACGCGCTTTAAAGCTCTCGAGAGGAATCGAGGAAACAACCAATCACAGCGAATTTTCTCAAGAAAATCCACAACCGGAGAAAGAAAACATGGCGGATCAGCTCACCGATGACCAGATCTCCGAATTCAAAGAAGCTTTCAGCCTATTCGACAAGGACGGAGATGGTCTGTTCTTCTCTCAGATCTCTTCGCTCTTTTCCTTCTTCTTCTTTTGTGTGTTTTCCAAATTTTTATGAAGATCGTGATTCCTAGCATTTGTTTGGATTGCTTCCTGATCCTGATTTTCTGTTCATTTTGTCTTTCTTTCATGTGATCCGAGGAAGATCTAGTTTTGGTTCGCTCAATATTGCTTAAATCTCGACCTTATTTAGGGTTCATTTCTCGCACAGTAAACTGGTACAGTAGAACAGTAGAGATCGTTGTTTCTCTGTGACATTTTCTCATTTGGTTGGATTCTGAACCACCTCTGTGACAAATCATACCGATTTGGGTGCATCTGATAGATATATTCGATGGAATTGCTCACAAATTTTAGCAGCTATGGTTTTAATCTTTGTTTGGTAGCAGGCATTTGATTTTTAGATGTTTCTGCTAAAATCTGGAAACGAAATTTCGTTTACAGTGTGATTTTGCCTAATTAAAAAAGAAGTCGATAAAGTTTTCTCTGTTGTTCTGCTCTAGACTAGTGTAGCATTGTTCGATTGCTTCTTGTGGCCCTTATTGGGCAATTGCATCATTCTTAGAAAAATGTGCATCAATATCATCTCTTGGCCTTTAATTAAAAAGATACTCAAACGTTTCTTGCTAGATTGTTTTCAAGAAATTTCTTTGTTAACATGGTAAGACTTGACTTTTTTTCTTAACAAGAAATCAATCTGTTTTCGTTGTCAAAACTTCATCTCTCGAACAGAGAAAATACGATAGATTGGGTAGTACCGTAATAGTAGCAGAGCATTTTTTCGCTGTGCATTTCCATCACTGTGCTTTCATATGGGATCTTGACATTTTACTTGTGTTAAGATATTTGGCTCTCCATGCTGATTTTGTTCAATGTTGATTATATTAGTTCAGGTGAAACTTGGAACTTAATTTTGGTTTCCTGATAGTACAAGAAGCTTCTTTGTTACCTTAGAAGAATTTTTCTGAACAAGAAATCAATATCTCTTACTTGTCATATCTTTACCTGTCTAAGTTAGAAGTACAAAGATTGGGTAAATAGTATAAACGCATTTTGGAGCTGCGCATTTCCATCACTGCTTTCATTTGGAATTTTGATCTTGGTTCATCTTCTTCTTGTTAAATGTTGAGTATATTAGAGTTCACATCAGTGATACTTGGTGCTTGCAGTATGTAACTTAATCCCGTTTTTAATTTTGGTTTTGTTGCAGGCTGCATCACCACAAAAGAGCTCGGGACCGTGATGAGATCACTTGGCCAGAACCCGACTGAAGCTGAGCTACAAGACATGATCAACGAAGTTGACGCAGACGGGAACGGGACAATTGATTTCCCGGAGTTCCTGAACCTAATGGCACGCAAGATGAAGGACACTGATTCAGAGGAAGAGCTTAAGGAAGCCTTCAGGGTTTTTGACAAGGATCAGAACGGTTTCATCTCTGCGGCCGAGCTACGTCATGTGATGACAAATCTTGGGGAGAAGTTATCAGATGAGGAAGTTGATGAGATGATCCGAGAAGCTGACGTCGATGGTGATGGTCAGATCAACTATGATGAGTTCGTGAAAGTTATGATGGCAAAGTGATATTCTTCTTATCCCTCGAAATCCCAAAGTCTGTTTTTTCTTTTTTTTCCATCATTAAACAGAAAAAACTACAGATTTGCATCCTTGTTCGTTTTGTTGATTTGCTTTATTATTGGTAAGACTGCTTCTTCTCTTTTTGATTGCTTCTTCTTCGTCTCGTTGTGTTATGTTCGTTGAGTTGAACTCATAATTTGGTTTAGTTGCTTGACACTTTGATATTATTTTCTTTCTATCTATTAGCAAAATTGGATTATGTTGAAAAATATTGCTAAAAACTTAGAAATGTGAACTGTATTTGAAAGAAAAGTAAAAGTCATTAAAATATACTATTATATATTTAGTGTCTTTGCATGAACAAACTAGTTGTAGTTTTTATTGGTTGATCTTGGGATAAAAAAATAATAAAATCGAGTGCTTAAAGGAAGCTAATGAAAATTTTGTCAACTCGATATGGCAAAATAAAAGTTTCTTATCACTTAACGTTTAAAAATAAAATTAAAACGTATTATTTATATGTTCTTAAACATTTATTTTCTCTTCATCATATCTATTACTAATAAAAATTGATGCTAAATGTATCTAAGGGTGTCCACATAAGATTTAAAGATTCAATTCTATTGGTACATATTATCATTATTTTTAGTTAATTATATATTGTATATTAAAATTAATTAATTCATTTTAATTGTTATAACGAATTCGTTCTAAGAGTGTCCACATAAGATTTAAAGATTTAATTATATTGGTACACATCATCATTATTTTTAGTTAATTATATATTGTATATTAAAATTAATTAATTCGTTTTAATTGTTATAAGAAAAATTTCTAAATTTTAATTAATTTTGTTTTTGTTGTTATTAAGAAAGTTTCTAGATTTTAAGTTAGTTATTAATAAAAAAATTTTAAAATAGATCTTATTTTTCTATTAACAATAAAAGGTAAATTAACATATAAATATATTATGAAAACAAAATCATATATATTGAACAAAATTATTAAAAACTGTATCTAAAACCATAATTAAATTATTTTAAAATTTAATGATGACAAACAATTAAAATATATTAGTTGTGGTATGTGTTGATGTCTTAGGCCAATGAGAGCGTCCACATAGGACATATATACTCAATCTGATTAGTCTATATCAGTATTTTTAATTAAACATAAAAAATAAAAAAACATTATTAATAATTTAAATAAATTAAAACTTACAAAATATAAAGTTATCACAATAGAATAGAAAATTAAGATAATTTTTTAACTAAATAAAATAAATATATGTCAAAAGTCTAAATCTATTGTGAAAATAAAATGGAAACTCATTATCACAAAAACTAAACTAACAAAAGCAAATATGTAAATCAATAACGAAAAAGTTAAATTAAAAAAAAAATTAGCATATATATTTTAAATGAGTAATTTATTTAGAAAAAATATTAAGATTAAATTTTCATATAAACATATAAAATTTTTCTTTAAAATATCAATACTACCAAAAAAACATTCATTTTAAATTATCAAAAAAGAAAGCCATCTAAAACTTATAATTTTAGGGAAAATATTTAAAAAATTAACACAAAGATCTTAACAAACCAAAATGATACTTTCTGCTAATTACTGAAGAAAGCAATATAAAAAAATGTTTAACTAACGAAAACCAAAACATAAATTATTTCTTACCACATGTCAATACAATTAAAATGAAAGTCTATAAGGAGAAAGTTAAATTAACAAAAAAAGAGGATATTAACTTAATATCTATGTTATTTATTTAACAAAATCAATATAAACAGAATAAGTAAAAGAATAAAAAAAACTTAAATAATACTAAAAAACTTAACTAACAAAACTAATATAAATATTAAAGCTAATTATTTAAGAAATTAATATTAAAAAATTAATTAACTAAAAACTAAAACGAAAATTAAGTTTTACAAAATATTAGTTTTTTAAAAAAACACTTAAAAATATATTGACTTGATATCTGACTAACTACTTAAAAAATTCATATAAAAATATTTAACTAACAAAAAATTTATGTCTTCAAAATATCTATATTTTAAAAACAACGGTGTGTTAAAATAAAATAAAAATCAATATCAAGAGAGGTAAATTATCAAAGGAAAAATCGTATAAAGTAATATTAGCTTGGTATTTAGGCTAACTACCAAAGAAATATTAACTAAAAGAAGCAAATGATGGTATAAGCTTTTGAGAGAAGTTCACTTACAATTTTGAATAACGAGTTATAGCATATCAAAATAGCATTTTAATTAATTTAAAAAGTAAATTTAACAAAGAAAAAGCATTTATGTAAAATATATATGATTAATATATATGCTACCTATTTGAAAAAATCAATAACAAAAGAGATTAATTAAAAATATATATGTTTTAAGTATATCAAACCTGCAGAAAATTAGATAATTAAAATAAAATATAAAATTACCATTGAAGATATTTAAACAGAAAACAAGATCTAAGAAGAAAATTAGTTTGAAATATAGTTCCAAAAACATTCATGATTTCTAAAATATTGGTGTTGACTATGAATAAACATATAAAGTTTTCATAGGTTATACAAGTTTCTAAATCAAACATATTATTTAAATTTACAAAGATTAATACATTGATTGCGTCTGGTTGAAAAATTAACAAAGTAAAATACTACATAAGTAACTTTACATTCAAAATATAATAAGTAATAAAGTCTGATTTGTATACATATTTACTGCTTATAACTTAGTCAACATGAACAACACATGAGCAACATCCTCTAAAATTTTATTTAAATAATATAACATGATAAAGTTATGAATCAAATTCAAATGAGAATATATGAAGATAAAATATTCAAATCAAAACATGAATAAACACAAAAAGATAAAAAAACAGTGATAATGTGAAATATCAACATCATCTTACATGTTTATAAACAAATATTAGCAAATAGTTAACTGCAAATAAAACAGATCTTGTAAACTGAATAGAGATATAACCTAAAATTCGTAGAAGATCTGGTGGAGAAGCAGAAAGCAGTTTTACACGATTAGTGTAGCTTACTAACAAAAGTAAATCTGAATCAACATATATCATATATTATATATGTATATGTACACAATATTAGTAAGACATTTAGTAAAGAAACTAAATATTTAAAATATAAACTTTTTTAAAAAAAGAATCACAGAAATCATAAGGATACAATACAAAACACCAAAAATTTAGTAAGTAAATCATTTTCTAAATCAAACATATGCACATCGAAGTTGGATAATTCGTTAGGTGTCATTACTATGATTTTACTTAATAATATTTATAATTTATGTTAATTTTTTTATATAATAAATATATTATAGTTTTGATAATTTAAAAGATATTAGCCAGAATATTAAACTAAATTATTAATAGAGACTCGCGCGTAGCGCGAGTTGAAAGCATAGTAATATATAAAAATTGATGGCATAATATATTGAGGGTGTCCACATGGGATTTAAAAACTCGATCTGATTGGTCCACATCAGCATATTCATTAAACAAAAAAAATGTTAAGTATGATTAGGACGGAAAAACTTGTTATTTTTTAAAAATGAACATAATAAAATCAATAACAGAAAGTTAAATTAACAAAATATTTTTGTTAACATATATACTTTAATGACTAATTATTTTAAAATGTAGCTTTAAACTAACTATTAGAGAAATCAGTATAAAAATAAAGCTTTAAACAAAAACAAATAAAATATAAATGATGTTTTAAAAAATGTTAATAAATTTAAAATTGGTATTAGGAACAAAAACAAATATTAAAACAATCATCTAAAAAAATTGACTTGATATATATGGTAACAATTTAAAAATTTCAATATAGAAGAGTCTCATTAACAGAAAAAAGAAAAGATAATTGTCTGTAAAAATATCAACATTTACAGAAAATTATGTTTCAAAATTAAATAAGAATCAATATAAAAAAGTAAACAAACAACGGAAAAATTCATAAAAAAACTAACTAAATATTTAGGCTAACATTTTTTAAAAACTAACATTAAAAACTTTAAAAACAAAAACAAAAGCAAATGATGCAGTAATATTTTGAGAGAAGTCGATATTAGATTTAAAGTGAACAGTTATACTATGTCAAATCAACATTATAACTAAAATGAAAACTAATATTAAAAAAAAAAAAATTTGAAAAGAAAAAGCATTCAAGTAAAATAAATTAACTTGATATCTATGCTAGCTATTTTGAGAATCAACAACCAAAACAAAACCTAAGTATAACAAACATACAAAAAAAAATTATATAGATTAAATTAAAATATAAATTTACTATCAAAAGATGTAAACTAAATGATTTTTAAAGTATTGATATCTACAATTAATAACTATATAAAGTTGCAATAAGTTTACATAATTTTTTAAATCAAACATATTCTTTAAATATACAAAAGTAATACAGTAGGTAATTCTGACTTAAAAACTAACAAAAAATACTACATAAGTAACTTTACACTCGAAATTTAACAAGCAGTAAAATTTGATTTATATATATATATACTACTTATATCTGAGCCAACATTAATAACATATGGTAACACCTTCTAAAATTGTATTTAAATAATTAAATATGATAGAGTTAAGAATCAAACTCAAATTGATATATTTAGATAAAATATTCAAATCAAAATATGCAGAAAGTACACAGAAGATAAAAACAGAAAACAAATATAAAGACTGCACACCATCCATTATACATGTTTAAAAACTAGAATTATCAAATATTAGACTGCAAAAAAAAAGCAATTAATGATAAACTGAATAAAGATATAAAAATAAAACTCATAGAAGACATGATGGAGAAGTAGGAAACGGCTTTGTACGATCATTGCAGTTTTTAACAAAACTAAATGTGAATGAACATGAATCATGAATTATATATATGCATAGATACACAACATCAATGAGATATTCAATCAAAAAATTAAATTTTTAATATATAAACCTTACAGAAAAAAGAAATGTAGAATTTCTAGGGAAATTAAACAAAACACCAAGATCTTAGCAAAGAAACCATTCTCTAAATTAAAAGTGTTTGCATGTCAAAATTGGATAATTTGATAAGCGTCATTGTTATTATTTTATTTAGTTTAAATTCTCATATATAAAAAGGATTATATATCTATTATTGTTTTGATAATTTAAACAGTAATAACTTAAAAAAGAATTAAACCAAACTATTAAAATAGACTCGCACGTAGCGCGAGTTAAA